TGCAATTAAAATGTTTTTACTTGATATTAATGATGATAATCTCTACTAAGGCCAAAGGCAAAACAAACAGGGCCATGGAAGCAGAAAATCAAGATATAATAACTTGGTAAAGATAAGCAATTTGGGATTTAAACTGAGTCTCTTTCCCAAAGTAGCCATAAAGTTACCAAATATTTTTTAAAATTAGTTATTTTCTTTTTGTACATTGCTATATAAATAATTTACGAAATATCAAATGCCAGCTTTTTCAAACTAACTTTAATCATCACACCTGAATCATTGAATTCCAACCCTAAAAATAATGGAAATTCATTTATGTCTAATGGATGGAGATAGATATAGATGATATAGATATAGATAAATCAGACTCCTTCCTGTGTGTGGGGACTGGGAGCATGGTGCTGAAATTCAATGTTCTCAACTACTGTTGAGACTGCCAGAGGAGTCTTTGGTTGCTATACTGAACTCTGTCTTTACTAAGACATTTTTGACTCAAAGTTAGAATATAGCTGTTCATGCTTTTCTCTTAGTAAGCAATATTTTATATCTTTTATTTATCTCAAAATTCTCCCAGAAAGATATATTTAAATATAGTTAAGTTTGAACTTTTGAATATCTCATTTCCTACTCTAATGAATTAGTAAGTTAGGAATGACATAGTGCTTCCTCAAAGAGCCAAGCCTTCAAGACATTTCTCTAACAGACCCCTCCAGTCACTCCCTTACCCTCAAAAGCAGTGTTATAAAAAGATGACTCTCAGCCCTAAAGGTTTCATTCTGAAAAGGACATTTTTTGCAAGCCTAGTTCAGAGTCAACCTGGCTTCTGAGTTCAGAATGGCTATGCCATGTGCTGAAACAAAGATAATGCTGCAAGGACTGGCTCCTTTCTCTACTCTCAAGGCTGCTCAAAGTCCCTCCATGGGCCTTTGATCTCTCCTGGGAGTCTTCGAATCCAAGCAGAGGCCAATGTCTTCCTCAGCTGTCTTCTCCACAAATTCTTCCAGCAGCTTTGGCAGGTACTAATGTGTTTACTTAGGTGTGCCTGGTTCCCAGAGTTAATAGCAGTTTGAAATTGTTTAGCACATTGTGAAGTCATATACGATAAGCAAAAAATCTCTAGAACAGCTCCCTTTGTCCAGGAGTTGATAAGGGTCTCAGATAGAGGCAGAAGCAATTGAAATGGACTCATCTTTCTATGTGTATTTGGTTTCTCCCACTGAGAGAATCACAGAAAATTTGGAATAATGCAGAATTCCTAGGGTAGGCAAAATTTTCTAGGAAAGGGAGCTCTGAGCATCATATCGCTGGTGGAGTCTGTCCATCAACACTAGGATTGTTGCCATAATACTTAAATTAAAATAGGTTCTCAAAAAAAAAAAAAAGGTTGGTGATTACTTAAAGGTCTATGCAGTTCAAACCTGTTGAATCTAAACTGTAAGAAAGTCAAACATGCATTTATTTTCCTTCAAAATGTTAAGTGAAAAAAACATTTTAATTATTGATATACTCCATGAAAACGTTGGGTGGCATTCATTTATAACACCATGCATGGCTTACTGTCTTCCCTTCATCTGCCTCCTGTAAGGCTTTCCTATAGTTAGTGTTGGAATGTCATATCTAACAACGTGGTTGCATATTAAATACGTAGAAGTTTCCTCTGCACGTAGGAAATTCACTTCTCAAGAAAGAGTGAACCACTGCTTGTATTTTTATTCTTTTGGATGAGGAACAAAAGTCAGTCTAGTCTGATTTTAAGAGCACCCAAATAATCAGGAGATGTCTCTCTCTCTCTCTCTCTCTCTCTCTCTTAGTGATTTTCATCATTTTTCATTCTGCTTTGTTCAATTTCCCCACTCCAAAAAAGTATTTTTCTCTCGATGCTCACCCAGTTCCTCATTTTCTCTTACGCAGTTTCCCGTCGGAAAAGAGCCGCAGAATCCCTCCTGTACCGGGGGATCCCAGCCATCTTGGAAACACTGGCTTCCTTTTCCCTTTGTATACTGTCTCTCGTTTTTGTGTGTGTTTGTTTTGTTTTTTTCTTCTCTCCTCCCCCTCCTTCTCCCCCTTCCTCGCCCTCACCCCTGCCCCCGCCACTGACAGCGGTTTAAGTTTTGTCTCGTTTTTTCACTCCGGTGTTTTGAGATCCTATTTTCAGCGCTTGAGTCCCAAGGGTCCTCAACCCCGGACCTTGTTTCCCCCGACCAACAAGTCCCATTAAGCCTCCGGGCGCTTGTGTTTTCGCGGCTTCTTTAGTTCCACTCGCCCGCGGCACTCTGGTAAATTTGTTTTTGAGATCACCTTACCCAAGACGGCCCTAACCCCGGAGAACCGCCGTTACTGACAGAGCCTCCTGAGTGACAGCCTCTCCCAGGCCCCGAGCGGAGGGCGGGCGAGCGGGACCCAGCTCGGGCGATTTCTGCTGCAGCGCCAAGCGCGCGCACTGAGTCGGAATGGACAAGAACACAAACAAAATTCATCTCTAGGAGCCCGAGCTCTAAGAATCAGGATGCCCACTTCCAACCCTGAGTGACCGGGGGCAGATTACCTTCCCCTTGAGCTTCGGTTACCGTCTTCTAAACATGGATCGAGTAAACAGTCCCCCCAGAGTCGTCGACCGTAGGAGATGAATGAACACGAGGAAGGAATGAGAACAGTGCTCGGCAAATAGAAAAGTCTTAATAATTGTTTACTACACATATCCCGCGCTGAGGGATTGGGTACAGAGCACAGGAGGCGCCTGATGTAAAGAAATCAGCTGAAAGGCGAGGATAACGTCTTCCACTTGAACTTGGAAGGGCAAGTTGATTTGTGCCCAAATCATAAATCTGTGCATCAGGTGTGTGCTGCACAGTCGGAGAAAGTGGGGGTATTGATGATGGCCGGAACCTGTGTGACTTCCTGGGTGAGATTATCTCCCTGCAATTGTATTTCAGAGGTAGCAATGTGTATGCAATTCCAATGTTTCCACCGCTGTGGATGGAATCTTGACTCCGCCTGGGTCCTTCGGGAACTTGACTCTTTTATCTAGTGTAGTCCTCAGTACCCTATTCATTTCAAAGGCATCCACTTGTTAATAGTCCTAAATAAGGTACAGACGGATTTCCCACTGGCCAGACGATTAAGCAGCTCCTTGGTATGAAAGGGAGCTTGATTTTTCAAGAGGGTGGGGGGTGTGGTGGTGTCTTTGTCTTAGGGATGAATGAATATGGGAAAGGAGGCAGAGCCCTGCAGGTAGAAGCTAACCTTAGTGACTGACATTTTACCACCCCTGTTTTTCCAAGCCTTCACACTGCAGAGCAGATCTCACCCTGAAAAAGTTAGAACTTCTCTAATCCCTACAGACTTGGGTTCAGCCAACCAGGGTTGCTTGAGGAAAATAATTTTAGGAATAAGTAATACAAGAAAGCGCCCCCCCACACACACCCCCACCGCCCCACCAGCCACAACACTTACTGGACTGGATGACTGAAGATGGTGATGAAAACACTCCCTCCTATTTTAACCGGGCCACAGCCCCTGTCTAAATCTCCAGGCTACTTAAGTCTATGTGCCTAGACCTTAAGAAATCGTTTTTCCTGTCCATAAACAGCAGCATCCCCTCCCATCCCCGCCCTGAGAGATCTGGAAGTAGGTTAAAGGTGGAGGAGCATTGGCAAAAGCCAATTAATAGACTGATTTCTTACATAAATGGCAGCCCTCTCTTCTCTCCTACCCACCAAAGTTCCAAGACCCTAATGCGATTGCTTTTCTGGAAGGCTTTTGTCACCAAAGTGTGTGAAGTTACTCAAGGTTTGAGCTGGAAATTTTACACGAGCCGAGAAGGATTGCTGTGCTGGCAGCTGGGACGCATCTGTAACGGTGTTAGCTCGCCTGAAAGCAGAAAATTAGCGACCCCAAAGCCCAGCTTGGCTGTTTAGTCTGTCGAAATGGCAGGGCGGAGCAGAAGGGGGAGAAAGGAAACTCGCCCCTGGAAAGAGAGGTCGCCGTCTAAAACTCAGTTTCTTCCAGTACAAATCACAGAGGTGCAGTAAGCACGGAACTGCCAGATCTGTACCAGGTCTAGCAAAGGCCTAGTACAAGGGCAGAGGCACTCAGTAAACGTGTGCAGAGGGGAAGAGAAGGGAGGATGGTTCGCATCACTTGGCCCTTGAGCCCACCTCCTTTTAGATGAGCAGAACTCAGAGTGAGCCCTGTCTTGGAAAAAAAGGAACCTCCCTGCCCATCCTCCAACAACACAGAGCCTATAAAGTGACAAGCTACCAGAGCAAAATAGATTTTTAAAAATCCAGATTCACTCCATGATTCAAAGTGTTGCTTCAAAGTTTTTAGCAACCGTTATTCGATCCACTGACTGAAAAAAAATTCCCGAGATAATTAAAGTTCATGTAGAAGAGAAACAAACACCAAAAATTAAGCTAATTCCTCATGTCCAAGATTGGGAAGGCAGGTCGGCTTATGGTTTCAGCTTATAGTAGGGTGTTTTATTTTTTTAATATTTTTTGATGTATGATCAATTCCAAAAGTTTGGATGGACTTCGTCCCTTTGTCTCTACCACTCTTTACGTGATCCCTTGGTTTAGGTAACCTAGAGAGTGCGAGTAAGCGGGTCGGGTCGGAGAATGATCCACCCCCCACCACCCCCCACCCCCGCCCCAGCAGAAATGCAGTAAAACCATTAGCGTCAAAAGGGGCTGTAAACAGCAAATTGTCTCTAGAGGAAAGGCGGAGGTTTGCCCAGACAGCCCCTGCGGGGGTTGTGGTGGGATATGCTAATAGTGCCTGGCCACTGGGGCCGGCCTCCCTCCCCCAAGAATATATAAAGAGCCCCAACCCCAGCACACTCGACCCAGGCCGCCAGGCGTTTGCCCTTGTTAATTACTGGAGAAACCGACCAGGGAGCTCCGCCCGGGGATTCACTGGCCCACAGCGGCGCCAGGCTCCCGTCTCTCCCCTGTATCTCTAGTTGCTGTCCAGGTGCACCACTTGCTTCACCGCAAAGGATGGAAATGATGGACGGCTGCCAGTTCTCGCCTTCTGAGTACTTCTATGACGGCTCCTGCATCCCGTCCCCTGAGGGTGAGTTCGGGGATGAGTTTGAGCCAAGAGGAGCTGCCTTCGGGGTGCACAAACCAGAGCTGCAAGGCTCAGACGAGGACGAGCACGTGAGAGCACCTACAGGCCACCACCAGGCTGGCCACTGTCTCATGTGGGCTTGCAAAGCATGCAAGAGAAAGTCGACCACCATGGATCGGCGGAAGGCGGCCACCATGCGTGAGAGGAGACGCCTGAAGAAGGTCAACCAGGCTTTCGAGACGCTCAAGAGGTGCACCACGACCAACCCCAACCAGAGGCTGCCCAAGGTGGAGATCCTCAGGAATGCCATCCGCTACATCGAGAGCCTGCAGGAGCTGCTGAGGGAGCAGGTGGAGAACTACTACAGTCTGCCAGGACAGAGCTGCTCGGAGCCCACCAGCCCCACCTCCAACTGCTCCGACGGCATGGTAAGAGATAGCACTGGTCACCCCAATCTTTTCCAAAAATTCTCAGATCTCTTTTAAACCAGGGATGGCAACCAAATATTCAATGGTTATTGCTTGGTAGTTGGGAGGGGGCTAGAGAAGGGGTGCCACAATTAGAAAGATGCCAGGAAACAGCTGTTGAACAGGATTTTAGTTTGACTTCTTCCCAGGTTCCTGGTGAACGTAGGAGAGGGTTGTCATATGAGACAGGTGGCTGCAAATGATCAATAACATGTTTTCTTCACATGGCCCCCCATCTCTGCTTTGCTGAGGTCTGGCTGGAAAGGGATATCGATGCATTCTTTTCGGAGGGCATTTGCCCCATCGTTGCCAGGTTTTAATGTGTTTTTGCCCTGGGAAAGTATTCTCTCCCTGAATTAGTGTGGTTTCCTTCTACTCCAATCCATTTTGCATGGTTAACCCAATGCACATTGCTGCTGAATTCCACCCCCACCCTCTTCCCTTTGCCACTGCTCTCCTCTTCTTCAAGCACAGAGATTGACCTCAGTGCCCTTACAATTTCGCGAGGTCGAATCCTTCCTAAATCGAGGCAATGAAGGTAATTGAGAGTGGTCAATGCACGGAGCTAGTGGTCAAGCCCAGTGCCACCCTAGTTCGGAGCATCTTTTTGCCAAGACCTGAAAACAAACTTCCTTTGTGTCTTGTATTATAGCCTGAATGTAACAGTCCGGTCTGGTCCAGAAAAAGCAGCAGTTTTGAGAGCATCTACTGCCCTGATATGCCAAATGGTAAGAATTGATGACTTCAGAGGAATTTCAAAATCAGTTCAACTTCACAGTTCAGCCTGTCAAAGCAGTCTGGTTTTCCAGGCTGTATTGGGGAAGGGAAGAGAAGAGAGGATTCCTATGGGGAGGTTTTGGTGCAGCAAAATAGGCACACATCTTTTGTTCAAAATCCCCCTAACAGATGCACACATATGCACTTTTGCTTGAAATTTTATCAAGGGGCTTCTCCACTCCCTGTTCACCCCCGTGAATTGCTAGATATTTGTTGCAAATTTCTACAACAGGCTTTCTGTGACCACCTGACCTCTGGATGTCAAAGTTGCTGACCTATGGTTTAAGAGGCCACATAAGCAAGTCTCTCTATTTGGGATTTTTTTTTTTTTTTAATGGTTTTCTCCTTGTATTCTTAGTATATGCCACAGATAAAAGCTCCTTATCCAGCTTGGATTGTTTATCCAGCATAGTGGATCGAATCACCAACTCAGAGCAGCCTGGATTGCCTCTCCAGGACCCGGCCTCTCTCTCCCCAGTTGCCAGCACGGATTCACAGCCTGCAACTCCAGGGGCCTCTAATTCCAGGCTCATCTATCATGTGCTATGAACTGAAAATCTAGTCTAGATGAGTTCTACGAGGAGGGCCTATTACACAGGAGGAAGGAAGCCCCAGAAGTTCAAAAGCAAGACAACTTGTATATAAAGATTTCCTTTCAGTTGGAAATTTGTAAATATTATCTTGCCACTTTATATGGAAAGTGTATTTAACTCAAAAGTCACCGTTGCGATACTTTATTTCTTTTCTCTGCCTCCTCCTCCTCCACTTCCTCCTTCTTCTTTACCTCCTTATTGCTTTAGATATATAGTTCCAATAATATTCTTTCGGATAGGGGGCAATTTATTGAAGGTAGCTTGTTGCAATGCTTAACTTATATTTTTTAATAAATATTGCTTATCAAAATATTATGTCTGATGTTAGAACTTTATTTTTTTTTTCTTTAAAACATTAGAACAGCCAGAAATCAGTTACAGGAAACTTTAAATATATTTAACTTTTGTTTTTCTATTAACCCTTTGGTGATATTGTATTAAGTAAACACATAACAATACTGCCTAATGGTATATATTTTTATCTTTTCTTGTAAGGAATGCCTCTTTTTTTGTGTAAGCACAAAATAGTACTTTGTGGATAATTTCAAGATATAAGAAATTTTGGAAATTCCACCATAAATAAAATTGTTCAGATGAAAGAAATATTTTGGTTTATGTTTTTTAAAAAAGAACATCCTTAATGGAATTAGTGGTCACTGACACAAAATTTTTAACATGGGGCTGAAAATAACAAAATAGTTGGCTTTGTGGATACGTGTGAATGTTTGCCATCTCATGGACACAGTTTAGGTCCTGTTGTGACAAATGAAGAGAACATTTCTATTTTAATCAGCTTTGAAGGGAGCCTGCTAAATACAGTTTTTCCCTTCTCTGAGTACTGTGCCATATAATGTCAAATTATGTGTGTGTGGAGGGGAAGTCATTCAGGACAAGACCACATGTTCAATGAAAAGAATGTACAACATTACATTTTAATAGCTCATGAGTTAGATCATGTTTACTTTATCTACTTGCCTAAAAATATCTTGATACATTATCTTAATATTGTCAATAAAATATTTTAAAGTATTGAGCTGATTTTTTTTTGTATTGCTAAAGTGCTGTAATAAGAAAACTTAAACTATAGTGAAGTGAAACAGACTATAATTGGCTTCCTCCTTTTCAGAGCCTTTCTGATTTTATTAATCATATTGTGTGTGTCTGTGTGTGTGTGTGTATGATGGACATGCATTTTTCATTGTTCATCACTTTAAATCTCCTTTAGCAAGAATTGAGATAAAAAAATATAACAATTAAGTAGGAAATAGGCTCAGATGATTATTGAGATAATTCTCACAGGTTTACTGCTGAGAGAGATAAAAAGGAAATATCCTTGAAGCATCTAGAGTAACTGTTCCCAGGCAGAAAAGATAATTGTTTCATCCTCTAATGTGTACTTTCACTTAAAATTGCTAAGGGTTGCATTATATACAGTAATCCAATGGACTTTTGCCAGAGCTTGGCAATTACACTGTTCTCAGGAAGATTTTTCCCTTCCTTCCAATATTATTTTTCTTGTGCTTGTCCAGTCATCGGGCTTAAAAGAACGGAAGTTATTCCATTAAGGAAGGAAGAGAAGAAGGGCTGAGTTCAAAAAATCATGAAGCCTCCTGTACCTGTTAGCATCATGGCCTAATAGGGATGCCAACTTTTAGCACACAGGTGAGTCTTTCTCATCCTTGGTTGGTAGTGTGAGGAGTTGAGGTGAGGAGAATTCAAGAAGGCATAACAGAGATATATGCATAGTTTTAGTATAAATTCATCCTCACTGGACACTGTGCTAGTATAAATTCATCCTCACTGGACACTTATTCATCCTCACTGGACACTGTGCTAAGTATACACTCTTTCTTATACTTCCGTGGAGAGGTTGGAGATTTGTTGCTGTTCTCTGTAGAATTAGAATAAAGGGAGCCATCCAAAGATTGGTTTTTTTTTTCAAGTTCAATTCTAAGTCACATTACCATACTCTGTTCCGTTTCAGAAAAGCAAGCGGAGAATACTGTGTAATTTTACTCAAGTGAATAAAAATGAACTTTTTTCCTTAGCAAACTCCAGTCACTTCTACAACTTGTCAATGTATTTGATATTCTCAGTGGAAATTATAGTGCCTCCAAGTGTTTAGTTCATCTTCTGCTGGTCTGGAGTGAATCTAGGTAGTGATTGATGTGTCATTGAAGGTAACACAGTCCACACCAACTTGCTCAGTCATTCTCATTTCTGGTATACTAACATCCAAGGCTGGTGTCTCCTCAGCAACCAGTTTGGCACAACATATCACACACTGTCATATATACTTTTTTGACAAGGGGCCTTTGCAAATTGGCTCTCCTGTAGTCCAGACCCAGAAAAGTCTCTTCTCCACGGAAGTGGATGGGGAGGAGTGAGAAGAGACCCGGCAAAATATTCAACCAACAACAGGAGTTGGCCATCTAGAAATCCCCTAGAGTGAACGGTTGGGGTGTCATTGAGCTTATGTCAGACCACCCCACCTCAGCCATTGGGAAAATGCAATCGGCAGACAAACTTCTAGAAGAAATTGACAATGTTCCTTTTACTATCTGCAGACCTGTGGGGAGAAGGCCTTTGGGAAATAGTCAAAAGGAGACTCTTCTCTCCTTGTGCCTGAGAAACACAAGCCTACTGGGTTATGCAGGAAAACTCTAGTGAGATGATGGAAACTGGGAAGTGCTATTTGGAAGGGAGCTGCTATCAGAAATCAAGGAGTCTTGATTGCCCCTGTTTTTTGTTTTTGTTTTGTTCTTCTCATTTGAAAGACACGAGTTAGTGGCTAAATTGTACACAAATTCTTCCTTAAGATGGCATTCCTACAATTACTGAATCTGAGAGAGGTTTTTCCTGAAATTCTCTCTTTGGGGTTATAACAGTTACTAGCCTAAAGTCGTAATTTAATCCCATGACTTTCAGAGGTGGTATTTCTGGGAAGGATATTAGAGCACAGCTCTCTGTAACTTCAGGAAAGCCCAGCTGAAATGTCAAAGTACCCCCTGAAAATATCACTCCTGGATGTTTCCACATCATGGCAAAAAGCATAGAACACTAAGTCGATTTCCTTTAAGAATGCTGATTATAGGTATTTTTCTTGACTAGTGATTCAGTTGTTTAACATGGTACATTGGCTGAGCAGAGGATCTAGCATTCAATCTAAAGTCTAAATTGGGTCTAGAATGATGTCTTGCTGTCTTCTCAGTTTTTATTTGCCATATCTGTAAAACAGGATAAATGGTCATTTGTGATGCTATTACAAATAGTTGCTACTAATATTGTTATAGTGTTAAAATCCTACAAAATAATTCTTCATAAAGAGGAAAATAAGCCGAATTTTACCTCCATTTATGCTACTGAATTCATTTCATTATAGATTCAGTGGGCACTAATGATAAAGCAGCAACTAGTAATTATTGAGTACTTCTCATTATGCAAATGAGGAAATTGAGGCTAAAGGGTTTAATAATTTGCCTAAGAACTCTCTATTTGGACTGGCTAATTAGATTCCCTCACAACTCAGATTCCAGTAGGCTCAGGCAGAGGTTACAAGGCATCCTTTGACCCAGCACTGGAAGTCCCAGAACATTCTTCTGGTCAAGCACGTTACTAAAGCTAGTGAGGAATCACTGAGAAGCAAATTAAACTCCACTTTTCAATGGAAGAAATAATCATGAATTTGTAGCCACATTGAATCTACCATACTGACTAGTATATACTTTCTCTGTTTCTCTAACTTTCACCCATTTTACCCATTTTACCCATTCACTGTAATCCGGCTCTGCTACTCTCCTTACCCATGGTCAAGACAACTTTCAAATCAGTAGACTCTTCCTATTCTGGGCAAGATTATACTTGGAGCCCAGATGTCACTCCTGATCTTTTTACCTGTATATATTCCTAGTGTCTCTTTAGTGTCTCAATGGCACCTCCAACCAAATATGTTCCAAATTCAACTCATGATATTCCATTTCTCTCCTGACCTCTTACCCTGGCTCCCTTTCCGTACTGAGTCTCTCAGTGAATGGTATCACCAGTGTTGTAAATGTGAAGCTTAGGATTGACTCCTGATATGTCAATCTCCCTTACCCTCTTGGCTAATTCATTACAAAATCCTGTAAATTTATTCTCCTAAGTAGCTCTCAGACCTCTACTCTCAATCAACTGTGGTTATCACTATCCAGGAATATCATAAGATCCTCTTAACCTGTCCCCTCACCCCATATTTTCTCTGGATCTCCCACTCCTGGAGACATCATCCAAGGTTCTCTCTGGGGGACCGTCCCTTTTCTTTTCTCAGGCCATGTGGCTCAGGTGAGATTGACTCTACTGTCTGACTCTAGAAGTGAGAAAGTCATTCAGGGCTCACTCGGAGTATGTCCTCTTCTTTGGCCGTAATGATTGTTTCATGACCAAGTTGACCAAGTTGTTCAAGTGTCAGTCCTGGGATATTTGCTGGATCAATAGGGGGGATAATTTCTCTTTCTGCTAGTGTGATTATATAGACGTTTTTTTTTTTTTTACTCTAGGTTGCCGAGTTTCATCCCCAAGACCAGAAATTCTGCCTAAAAACAAAGCCAACAGAGTAGAAAGCCAAGCTGTGCCTGTGATGCCAAGAATTGTATTCCTGAAAACATCATTAAGTATGTGGATCCCAATATACCTGAATATCCACTGTTGGCCAGGCTTTACAGGTTTGGAGCGAACAAGTTATCTTCTTCCTTAAACCGGTATAAGTGCAAACACTGTTAACTGAAAAAATCTTGCATAATATCACTTTTGGTCTTTTCTGCCCATTCCAGCCAGAAGCATCATCTTAGAACGTTCATCTGATCATGTCAATCACCCCATTTCCCCTCCAGCTTATTATTGCACATAGGTTTACAACAGACCAGACTTAACAGCACCCTCCAGTTCTACATGCCTATCTCCTAGCTACATCTCAAGCATTACCTCTTTGTAGAGGTAATGTCAAGTCCTTGCTTTCTCCACTCCAGCCACCTAAAGGACCTTTATCAGCCACCGTGTTCCCTCTTGCCAAAGGAGC